TAATCGGGCCGATGACCTTTGACCGAGCATACATCATTCGTACTGCTAATGAATTATACAATTTTCTCTTCCTATAGTTAACCTGGCATTCGAGATAAGTGAGAAAAAATAAAAAAATAAAAATAAAATTCCCCAAATCAAAACTCTCAAAAGCAAAACCCTAGACATTTCGCAGCAACACAAGCAATTTCGTTGTGCTTCTCACTCCAACTACCTCTGTGAACTCAAATCTACGTTGAACTAGCAATTGCGAAGCTCTGGCGAGTCTGGCATGGTCTCCCTAGCTCCAGCAAACCATCGTCAGACCAAAGGTTAGTCAGTTGAGGGCCCTTCTTCTAGTTGGAGATTTTTCTTGAGCTGTTGGTGTTTTTTGGAGGCTGGTAGTGGTATTTTCTTATGGTAGTTGGTGTGTTGGGGTTGGGTGGCGTGGGGGTGAGAGATTTGGGAAAGAGGATGAAAAATTAATTTCTAAAGGTTTGGACTGTGGGTGACACAAATAAAAAGTTTGTGTATAATCTATGAAAGATAAAAGATTTGGGACTGCAGTTGCAACTAGCTCTTTTTAGTTTTGGCCTTTTTAAGTGGATTTCATTATTAACCTATTGGAATTGGATGGTAGGGATGTTTCAAGGTTTGGACCATCTAGGGAGGTCTTTCTACTAAAATGAAAGGATATGAGATATTCCACAATTATAGGCAAAAGTCAAGGAATTTTGCACCAATCACCTTTAATTTTATCCAAATTTGCAAAAATAATAATACATTTCAAATTAGATTATGTGTGGCTTTCTTTAAAGAAAAAAAGAACTAGAAGAAAGCGGCAAAAAATTCTAGCACCTTAAATCATATATAGGGCCCGTTTGGTAGGGATTTTGAGAATTGATTTTTTGACCGTTAGAAGAAAAGTAGGGTCCACATGTGAGAGAAGAAGTCAAAAATTACGGCTTGAATAGTAAAATAACGGTCAAAAAATCAATTTTTTGGGGCAAAAAATCCCTACCAAATGGGGCCATAGACCTTGCTATATGTACACCGGTACACGGGCGTTGCACGCCCCTCACAAGAGGGGGAGGAGTCCACGCCCAATAAAAAAGCCCCCCCCCCCCCCCCCCCACCCCCCCNNNNGGGGGCCCCCCCCCAAAAAAAAACCCCCCCCCCCCCCCCCACACACACACACACACACACACACACACACATTGTGAGGGGAGTTACAAATAGCAAAATTCTCATATGGAAGACAAATAAATTGTTACATCATGTTAATTTTAATGGAAAGCAAAGTTTGAATTCATATTATATTTACATTTTCACAAACAAATTGTATGCATCTTTTTAATTAATCCAAAAAGAATTCAAATTAAATAGTATGCGACTTCCTTAAAAAAGTTGGCTGAATATATCGCTTTCTAATACAAAATCTTAATTCCTATTAATATTTAAATTTTCACAAATAAGTTGCATACATCTCCCTAATTGATCCAAAATTGAAATTACTTATATACTAACCACCATTGATCCAAAGATGAACTTTCATGTATACTAACACAAGCAAAAACCTCAAAAATCTCAAATTCATAATAAAATTGCAATAGATTTTGTAAAGTAGTTTGTGTTGGTAATTATTTGGAAAACTAAACTTGTAAAGCGATTGGATAATGAAGTTGAATAGGAGATGAAATTATTACTGAAAATCTAAAAATTTCCACTTGAAAACTTATTATCTGGTTAATTAAAATTATAAAGAAAAAATTATTATACTACTGGAAAATAGATGGGCAACTTATGAATTTTGTCAAAATTTAAGAACCTGCTTGAAAACTAATATTGGACTTGAAAGGAGATTCGAAGAAGAATAGCATGCAGCGAGTTTAAAAGTATCAATTTTTAGCTTAATACTTAATTAATACGATTTGTTAATTCTAAACCTTTTTTTATTATGATTTTTTAAAAAGTCCCTACTTTTTAGTGTATTTGTGTAATTTGCCCACCATTAATTTGGTCAGGCCCATCTTAGCTGAATCTCAGGTGGTTTAATTACCATTTGAGTAGTATGAATATGGATTCAGACCATTGTTATTTGGGAAAGTGTTGGTATGAAACGGGCTAACGAGACCCAAATTGCCTGGAATGAATTTGGAGGGAGGAGTTGAAATTTAATCTCCCACCACCTATAACTTCCATGTAACTCTCACTATACCGAAACCATAAAAGAAGAAAATGCAAAATTTAGATATAGAGAAGGGAGTGAAAATACATTAGGGTACGTTTGATTGCAAATATGGAATTTGGGTGGAAATAAAACAAATTTCAAGAAATTAAGTTGTCTAAAAATTGTTTTACTGAGAATTGTCAATTAATAGTGTTTGATTTGTTTAATTTTTCACCTGAAAAATGTTGAAATAAAAGTATTTTTTGGTGTTTATTTGATTTTATTTTTCATGAAAATTGTCAATTTAATCCACTTTTGCAATTGTTCCTAAAATTTGTTTCCATTGCGTCAAAAAAAAAAAAAAAAAACCCCGAAGAAATCCAAAAATCATCTACCTTTCGGTATTCGTTTGGCTTTGTTTTAAATGAAAATTTTCAATTTAATCCACTTTTGCAATTGTTCCTAAAATTTTTTTCCATTGCGTCAAAAAAAAAAAAAAAAAAACCCCGAAGAAATCCAAAAATCATCTACCTTTCGGTATTCGTTTGGCTTTGTTTTAAATGAAAATTTTCAATTTAAGCGATATCCTCGTTTACAATTGTTCCTAGAATTTGTTTCAATTGCATAAAAAAAAAAAAAAGAAGCAAAAACTTGGAAAAGCTAAAAAAATCTGATGTGGCAAAGATTTGTAGAAAATCATTTTCATAAAAAAATTCTACCATCAAACAAGTTAAAAAGTGGGAAATGAAATTTAATTTCCATTTTTCATGGAAAAGAAATGTCTATCAAATAGGGCCTTAGTGTATTGACTAGATTTTGCAAGATTACCATCTCAAAATTGATTCTTGGATTGTGAATATCAAACTCTTTCCATCGTGATCGAGTCTATAGCCAAAGAGCAGTAAGTGAATAAACCAATGGCAAGTAATTCAACCTTTCATTCGTCGGAATTTCAAGTAAGTTCTAAGACTCCAAACTCAATTAGAAGCATGCTAAGTAGTTTTTTACATTGATATCAGCATCTAAGTAGGTTGTTTTCTTGCTCTGTGACATGCTAAAAAATGGTTTAATGTGATGAAAATGCATGTATGTCATTTTTCCTTCAAAGTTTGAACACATTTCATGGCAAGTTATGATATACCTCATATATGTTCTATAAATTTATACTATATGTTCATGTTAACATATATAACATGTTTGCAAAGTTTCATATTGTTGAGCTCTGTATTCTGGAAGGAAGAAAAATGGAACCCTAGTTAAAGAACCCAAACTTTCATAACATGATAGCTTATTCAAGGTCGATCCTGAAAATTTTAAGACTCTAATCGACTAATTATTATGAGGCCTTTGTCATGGGTGGTATGAACGGCTACTTCGAGATTGAAACTAAGGCCGAGTAACCTATAGGATGTGGTTGTATCTCTAATTGTGCAGATGGTAATAGGATAACATATAGAAAAAAATGGAATTTGATTGAAGTTCAAATCAGTTTTACGGAAAAATTATGGTTTGCCTCTTTACGAATTCAAAAGCTTGGAAAATTGAAAATTGAAGATTGCAGAAGTTCAAATTCTGAAGAAGGGTGGCCTAGTGACTTTGGCCCGGGGTCAACCCTAAGTTTACTGTACGTTACGTTTTGTGTTTTCAAATGATACAAAGATGATTACTTTTGGCATTGAAATGAAGAAGTTATGGTCTATCGAAGTTTGGTTGAATTTTTGAAAATTCTACACTAGAAGATGAACAGAAAACATAAAAAAATTCCTTCCCACCCTCAAACCAAGTTGTTGGTGTTCCAAACATGGCTTTAGATATTGCTGTTGTAAAATCATGAATTCAGATTATCAAAATTAACTAAATGGGCCAAACAAGTTTTTTGAATGTTTGCACGCGGAGGTGTACCTGATTGCGCCCTATTTTTATTTTTTTTAATTAAAAAGTTTAAAAAATTTAAAAACTTTGATCAGCACGTTGGGGGCTCATGTGGAATCGTTTGTATTTCTAAAAATTACAGTTTGATTCCTAAAATATTCTATACACTTAAATTAATTTTTAGACAGTTAATTTTTTTTTATTTAATGATTAAATGAAATTTGTAAAAATACTTTTTTTTTCCAAGTTGATTAAATTCTGATTTTTTTAATAAAATAAAAAATATTTATTAAGTAGTATTTTCATAGTGGCAGTTAATTTTTGAGATGCTCTCATTTTTTAGAAATTGAAAAATACTTTAAAAGTATTCAAAATACCATATTTTTCCACATTCATGAGTGGTGTAAGTTTTGATTGGCTTATATGATTCACTGTTATATATATATTTTAACAGATATGACTGGATCTGTGTACAATTTTTTTTTTTTTTTTTAACAGATATGACTGGATCTGTGTACATTTTTAGCATTCTTATAGGGAAAAGTAGAAAAGAATGAGTTGTGGAACGTGTTGAAAAGTTACATAGATATCGAAACTATGAAATGGATTAACGACCTAACATGTTACCATATATAAAACATCTTGAAGCAATGCGTCTTGAAGTAACACATTTGGAAAAGTATATATGTGAGGCTGAGAAAATATATCATCTAATGAGAACACTTCCTACTCATTGGCATGATATTGTAGTTGAAATTCTAGACAAATCACTTAATCTGGCTTATAGCTATCTGATCAGGATTTTATGAAGAAATGGAAGAAAGAAAATTAGAATATTAAGAAGATCAGCCTATCTATGTATAGTTAATTGTAGCAGTGACTTAGTGACAACCAAATTGCTGAACAATATGTATGGAATGCTCTTCTCATGGGTTGTAGTTGTACACAAAAGTTTAATTTGATCGCATATATATATATTTTTGCACTATGACATTAATTTTATTTATTTATTTATTGTTATTATTATTTTTGTGATGAAATATTAACATAATGGATGATGGTTGGGAACTTAGTGAGCTTTTAACTCCATATCTAGTGTTAAATTATCATAAAATTTAATTTACATAAGTACAAAATGATATGTGTTCATAATTGGATGTTCATATAATTGTCTCTAAAATTGTGACAGACCATAGCATTTAAGAATATCATTACTGACCTTAATAAATGAGAAAAATTGAATGACAATAACTATAATATTTAGCACCATGAAATTTGGCAAGTGTTGGAGAAATAAGATTGTCTTGAGAGTATTAACCACATAATACAACCTAGGGATGGGCCAGACTACTCAACACAGAAGGTTTCAAGAAATTTACCAAACAAGGAAAAAATATTCCAATACTTGTGCGATTTTTCTAAGTTCCATGTTGGATGATCTCGTTCAGAAGTGTGAACAGTTCTCAACTGCTCATTTGTTTAGGTATATCTGAGAGAGAAATATGGTGGCACTAGTGTAACTAGACTTAGATAGCTGATTATTAAATTTGACACATACAAGAACTCCTAACCACAAGATCACACAACATGTGAGGACCATGTCTAACATGATTTGGGAGTTAAAGTTGACTTGTCACATACTCTATGATGAATAGCAAGTTCAAGCTTTGATCCACTCTATTCCTGATAATTGAGAGCATCTGAAAGTCAATTTGATTTATAATGATAGCATCAAAACATTTGCTGATGATACCCACAATGTGGAATTAGAGGACGAGTGATTTGGTACTGCTAAATCTCTAGGATATGCTTTTGTGGTTGAGTCTAGTTCTTCAAAAGCTCCAGCCTTTTAAGTGTAAAAAGAACCGTATCAAATGTAGGAAAGGAAAAAGGAAAGAAAATGGATAGGGACCTAAGAAGAACAATTACTAACGCAACAAGAAGAAAAAGTGATTTGGAAAGAATAAAGACAAGAGCAAGCTGAAATACTATAATTATCTGGTGCTGATTTTCTCGGGAATGTCTTGAGTCAAAGAAGGTAGCTCTTATAAGTACTTCTTTTAGTGCTATTTATGTTTCAAGCAATGTTATACTAACTAAATCTTATCATATGTGAATTGTAGACTCAAGATCTATAGACCATGTCATTAGAGATCGATAAGCGTTTATGGAGTTTCATCGATTTCTAGTTTCTATAAAATGGATATACATGGACAACGGTGATAGATTGGAGGAGAAAGCAAATGGTACATGTAAATTGCATTTGTGTGGTGGCCGTACTATTTTTCTTCATAATGTCCTGCTTGCACCAGTGATGAGACGAAACTTAATTTCTGTTACTGTTCCTTTAAGATTAGTTTTCTTTTGAACTTTCGTGGTATTTCTATGCGTATTTGTAATGGTAATATATATAATGACTCTGGATATGTATCTTGTGGTTTTTTGATGTTGGATTATGAGCCAAACACTTAATAACTATTATGTTGATTGTTGTTTTCCTATGAATGTATCTACTTTTTCAAAAGATTTAAATGTAGATGCATGTGTACGGCGTGCTAGATTAGGACATAGTGTGCAAACAAGAATGAATAGGTTAGCTAAAGAAGGCATGTTAGGTTCAATCTCTAAGGTTTTGTTGTTTACTTGAAAACATTTCTTAATCGGAAAAAATAACAGGAAAACCATTTGATAAAGCCTTGAGAGTTGAACATCCTTTGTAGTTAGTCCATTCATATATATGTAGTCCTATGAATGCGAGGGCAGACATGGAGTCTCTTATTTCATTACTTTTACAAATAATTTCATGTGGTTATTTGTATCTATTTGATTTCTCGTAAGTCAAAAGCATTAGAGTACTTTAGATTATATTTAAATGTGGTAGAAAATCAAATGGATAGAAAGGTGAAAGACTTAAGAACTCGGGGAAGACTTGAATATACATTCAATGAGTTCAAAGAACTATGCAATGATAAGGAGATTATTAGATAGTTGACTATCCGGTACATCACAACGAAATGACATTGTTGAGAGGAGGAATGGAATGCTACGAGAAATGGAGAGGTCCATGATGGCATAGGCTAACTTATTTATTTCCTACTGGGAAGATGCTTTGTTAACTGTGTTACATCTGAATAAAGTTTCATCTAAATCGGTTCTTAAATTTGGACGGCTAGATCCCCTAATTTGAGTTGTCTCAAGCCCTGGAGATTAGCTGCTTATATCTGCGAGTTTCTTTAGTTTGAGTTTTGTATTGTGATATATTATGTTGGCTTAATTTAGTATATTTAGATAAATGGTTATGAATTACTAAAAAGGTTTATGAATTTTTGAGCAAACATATGAAGAAAATGTAGTCCGCGAATTGTTAAACAGACAGTTTATTGATAGTCTGTTAAGAAATAGTATAATATGTTAACACACAATATATTACCAAATCGCCAGGTACAAAAAAAGAAAAAATAAAAAAATAATAATAATAAATAAAAAATCAATATTTGCGATCTTAAGGAGAGCAAATTTGTCACCAGAATGTTTTGGCATTTAACCACATGATCACAAGACCTATAACCATGCAATTATGTGGCCTTCTAAGTGATGTTTGTTAACAAGACAATCTATTAACAGACATATGTTAACCGATTATTTAGCTTCACATACATACATAAACAATTTTTTTGAAATTTGTATTCAAATACAGATAGGATTGGCACTCCTCGTAGTTTGTTACTTTAGTGAGTTTCTAAAGAATGAACATGGTCAATGGAAATGGAATTAGGTCGAGAGTAATGGATAATGTGTTGATTCAACGAATGCATCATATATGGATCTATATCTTCATGTACAAAACCTTGTGAACATTGACCTTTTGATAAGAGATGGAGTTAGGATTTATTTTTCCCAATAATCTCAATTTCACCGATAAAGATTAATTCTAACTTGAAAGTGAGGTGTCTCATTCAACCCAACTAAAATCATTTACAAACCAGGACCTAAAGTTGAGATATATATAGAGGATGATATAGTTATTTCGAATACAGTTGCAACAAATTAGGATCTCACAGTTACTCACATACCCGCTCTCGCTCCCCCGTCCAAGATAGTCCAAGAGAATGAGAAGGAAATTCTATTCACGAATTAGGATCTTATTGTTGACACAAATCAAGTGAGAACTCATAGAATGTGCCCAATTTATGATATTTTCTTATTTCAAGTGTAATTTTTGATAATGAAGATTTACAAGTCAATTAATTGTTTGACAATGATTATACGGAATTCTCCAAGTGCGCGATATGGTAAATAAGTAACATAATGTTGAATAGAATATCATTCCCACGAGAACTATATACTTAATCTAGTATCAATTAATGCTAACTCTAATCAAATATTTAAGTTTGATTGAAGATTTTATACTAATTAACTAATTAAACTAATTATTCTAATGAGCAATTTACAAAACCTTTTATAAGATTAGGTTGAATAAGTACTAAAATTTCAAATCCCCCTGATTAATTCAGTTTAATGTAATTCAATACCATGATAATATGTATTCATTCTTTTGTTGATCAATATTCCTAAATTATTTGATAATCTCTTTCGAGTAGAGTAAAATATATTCTCCAAGGTGACTTTTTGCGTCTTTATGAAAAATGTAAACATAAAAGCAAGCATCAAAACTCTAGAACATCTATTAAAATCATGATAGCTATATGGGTATCCTCTATTGTACCATACAACTATTGTTATAATGTGTTATGTACCTTATTATTTCTCTTGAATATAACAAAATTCACACGTCAATCCAATTATTAATTAGGTAATTGAAAGCATTAAATCCTATAATAATCATGCAAGAATGAACATCAAAATATTAATATTATATTTAAACCTCATAATAATGGTTCATATATATCTTAGAAATTGAAAGTCTAGTCTAGCATTAAATGGTTACAAGAAAATTGCAGTTGGTTTGTAAGCCATCACCCGGATTCTTGATATATGAAGAAAAATGGAGAAATCAAGAAATCTTGAAGCTCTTCAATAGTTTTTCGCTTGATCTCCACCTGCACTTTCCTCCTTTTTTTTCCAACAATCAAAGTCAGATATTCAAAGGATTGAGTTCGTGTATCTTGCTTCTTGAATTTTCCTAATAGAATGATTAATTGGCCTTCCTTCTCTACAAGATTATATGTATTATAGGATATGAGAGGTATCTTCCAATGCTTGATGGTGTTCTATATGTATAAGAATTGAATTTTAGTCGAAATTCGCGTTGAAATTGCCAAAAGTGTTTGACTCAAAATAGGATACTATCCCCATTAGCTAAAATTTAGGCTGTTCGATCACACTCTATATAGGAATGCAATTACAATAGCCAAGTTAAATAGTCTCGAGATTTACCAAATGAGGAGTTATGATTGCAACGCCTAGAGGCGAGCAATTGGGTTCATCTTTTGGGATTCTTCTTCTTTGGGATATTTCTACTCATGTTCATTTAGATTAATTGAACTTGTTGTCTTTGGACTACTGACCTAAGGCCCTTTTCTCTTTAGGTTTGTTTTGCTTTATATTTTTCTGGTAGACAGACTATGATTGCCATTGGAAAGAACGTGCTACACAAACATAGGGTTGATACAACGGTTGACATGGTACACATATGGGGAGGTCGATATTATTTTGTTCGCATAGGACCCACGCCTTGATTGTGAGTATGGTGTCATCCTTTGTGTCAAACATTATATTCGTTTGACATTTTTCGATTGGAAATTAACATGCTTTGCTGCCCACGATTTTCTTCTTCCTCTCTCTATTATTCTTATTCTTTCCTTTCTTCCCTTGTTTCTTCCTCTTCTTTCCCTGTTTCTCCTTTTTCCTCCCCTCTCCCGTTCTTCTTCTTTTGCAGTCTTCTTTCTTCTGCTGCTGTCTTGTACAGGAATTATCCATTGATCCTACATCACTAACCTAATCAAGGAAAGCTAGTTCACAATATTGTAAGGTTGCGAATGGTTTAGTTCATCGATATAGAAGACACCAAACTAAATCCAAAGCATATCTTTAAGGTCGGTTTGACAGTTTTTTCACTAATTTTGATCAGTTTGGGTGGCATTATTTATGAGAGATTGAGAAAATCAGTTATCGTTAGTCTTTTGGGATACTAGTTTTTGGTGTTTTAATTCTTATCGTATTTCTCTATCCAAGAAATTGGTGATTTTTTTGCCCTTTTCAATTATTTTTTTCCAATTTTACCATCTCAAAAATTATTCATTTAGAAGACAAAAATTCAATTATAAGTAGAAGTTTCTTAAAATAAAAAACACAACAACCAAAAAGTTTATTTACAAGTAAAAGTTATTTTATAGCAAAAAAATGTACTTAAAAGACAAAAACTCACTTCTACGTAAAAAGTACATATAAAGTAAAAAATACTATTAATAAGACAAAATTCGCTTATAAAATAATTTATAAGTAAAAAATTCAGTTATGTATAAAAATTACTTATAAGTACAAAATTAATTCATAAATGTAAAATATACATAGAAGTAAAAAATTGCTTATAAATAAAAATTAGTAATAAGTAAATATTTTACTTTTTAAGTGAAATATTAACTTGCATGTAAAATTATTTATAAGTAAATGTAAACTTTATGTGTAAGTAAAAAATTACTTATAAATAAAATTCATAATAAGTAAATATTTTACTTTTTAAGTTAAAAATTAACTTTATGTGTAAAATTATTTATAAATAAAAAATATCACTTATGAATAAAAAAATTCAAATAAGAAATTATAAATTAAAGTTTTTAGTTAAGTGATGTAAACATTTACCCCATATAATATACATATCTACCTTTTTTAATATATGTACATATATGTGATATTATTTTAAAAATCTTTTAGAACAACTAAATAATAAACTTACGGGGAAATTGTAGCTAAGGTCCCAAACATTTAATTTTTTTCCTTGACTTTATTCAAACCTTTCATGTGTGGCATTCTCAATGTCAAATATTTAATTTTGTTGTAGCATAAGAACAAACGGATTGATTCATCCATTTGATCATTGGTTGAAACCAAAAAAGAAATTTTGACTACATTATTAATTATTTTAATAAGGGTAAAATTGTAACTTTATATTTTATACATAATAATTTAAAAATAAAATTAAAAAAAATCAAAAAAAAAAAAAGGAAAAGGAAAAACCATTTTTTCACCCCACCCACTCCACCCCACTCCACACCACCAATCAGGGAATTAGAAAATCGTCGACCACCATCGCTTCTCCACAAAATCCTACCAAAATACAACCAAAAGACTAAAATAAAATAAAATTCACACCCATTTGTTGAATCAATTACTTCAATTATAATTTCTCTTTCTACAACAATCTCTCTCTCTCTCTAAACTAAATCAAAACCTAAAGGAAGCAAAAGAATTTAAGAGAAACAGAGATTTTGAACTTAATAGATGCGAGTTTCATGGTGGATAATGACTTTTTCAACT